AAATAAAATAAAATAAATATAAAATATATAAAATATAAATACATGTAACCGTGTTTTAGCAGATATCTGTATTATTTTACATTGTGATTTTAGTGAAGTTCAATACAATCAAATAAACGCTTGTTTCGACAAGAACATGACGAATTTAATTCAAATGACTTAAGTTTATGTCAAAAACATGACAACAATAATTAAATGTTAATGCTGCGGCCCATTATGTATAGTGGATATTTATTTGAGTTCGAAGAAAAAATAAAGAGAAGTTTTTACGTCATGAACGAGTTTTACAAAAATATAATATTTGTACTTAATGCTCTACATTGATTTTAGAATTATGTGTTTTTTGCTTTTTCCTATCGTTTTTATTTTAACGAGCAGAAAAAGAAATAAATATAATATTTTGTCAGACTCCCCATATGTACTCGTAAGTTAAAAACTGTGTATGTGCAGGTACGTGATTTTCTAACAAATATAACTTTTGGTATTTGTCAGTTATTCTCACAAAAAAAAAAAAAAAAAAAAAAAAAAGTAATAATAATAAAAATGCAAACTCAATGAAACCAGTTATTTCTAATAAAAAGGTAATGGTTATAAATAATTCTATACTGTATTGAAATCTACAGAAAACAAAAATATAATAAAGCCATAAACTGTTGGATGAACAGTTGTTTTATTGGTATTAATGTATGGAAATATAATTTTATTTGTAAATAACGAATTATATAAAAAATTAACATTATACTCATATTGAACATCTACATTATTTTTCCTTTCATATAAAACTAGGAATTCAATTTTTAAAATGTAATATTCATTTGATTACTTTTTTAAATAAACTCGTATATCTTAACAAAACATTAATTAAAATAAGAAGAATGTTTTATTATACTGTTACATATAAAATCATTTTTAATACATTTTAATAACATTTCTATATAAAATAATAGTGGGAGTTTTCTAAAAGAAGCAAGTTTTAATTTTTTTTTTTTCAATATTAAAATTGAAAAAGTTTAAGGTATAAATTAATGGATTTTTAACTATGCTAAGTATTTAGTTACATTATTTTTAGTAAATATTAATTTATTACAATTGATTAATACAAATTTTAAGTTTTCTATTTAAATATTTAATTATTTATTTTTAATATTAAAATTAATATTCGTTCAAAAATATCGAAAATAGGAAGATTCAAGTTAAAATTATAAGCTTTGGTCGAGTTCAGTTTAACTTCCAAAACTTGAGTTTGACCCGTCACTTTAGAGATAAGTGTATTAAATTTTCAATATTCAAGATTAAGGCCAGTAAAGTATAAAGTCCATTAAAATAATGTCTTAATTTTCCTAAAAATACTTATCAAAATCACTAAATTAAATAACTGTTAGCAATGTAGTTAGTTTTATATTCTAGTATAATTAAAATAAAGAATTACTTTTTTCAATATGTATGTATCATGAGTTAATTTCATATGTTTTCCTTTATACCCCTGCAATCTTATAACATATTTCTTGACAATTAAAAAAAAAAATGATGAAAAGTTATCACATCCAAGTATACCAAGCGGTAAGGCTATTATCATAAATTATAACCAACATTATTAATGTATATTAATTTATAATTGTTAATCATTAATATTTTATAGATTTACATTAATAATAAATAGTGTTAGTGTCAAAGAACTTAGAGTAACAAAATGCGTAATACCATGTTTGAGTAGACTTCATGCTTGTTTTAAATAATGTTATTTTATATTATTTTACGAGCCCGAATATTGAAATTATGACTCCAACATTGTACCTTTGAAATAAATAAGTAATTAACCCAATCGAACTGAAAACGTGTCAACGCTATTTGTTGTTATTGCAACGGTACAACGGTAAATTATTTTCTACTTGCTATTTTATAAACATTTAAAATATATGTACTCAGACTTTCTAAGAGCAAATATCGTATGCGAAATTTTTAATTGTTTTAAATATTTTATTCTCAGGTATTTACAAGAATAATCCATGCAACATCGTTAAAATGAAAAAAAAAAATCATACGTGTAACAATAATACATCGAATATTATGCGAATGTAAACTGTTATTGCACGTTATTACTGTTATTATTAATAATATTTTTATTGTTTATTCGCGATTCGTTTTTTTATCTCACGAATGCATTTTAATATTTTAAAACGGCTTAAAATAAAATGTTATAATCTTTATTTATTTGTTCTCCTTTTTTCACAAATTGTACGTATTTATTGATGAAATCTTTTATGAAATATTATTGAAATCATAATCTTAAATATTTTAAAAAATTAAATAATAAATACCAACTGTCAAATACAATATTGGGAATATATAAACGTGACAGATTTAACTTTACTCCCTAAAGAACCCTTTAGGCTGTTCAGTAGTTGATAATTCTTCGTAGGTGGTTTGTATGAATGATAAGTGAGTTGTACGAAATAATTATCTTCAAGACGATTGAGACACAGTCAGTATTGGATTGTTAAAATATTAATAATGAGACGACGTATTGCTTTTTAAACAATATTGGATATTTTTGCCATTAATGATCGTTGAAATTAGATTCCGTTGCAAGGTTCCAAACAACTGCAGTAATGGTATTCGAGTGGCATAACACTGAGATGTGCCCTTAAGAATAGTTCACTATTATCATTGGTGATTTGGAATAAATCGATCAAGTGGTTTTATTTCAAACACGGTTTACATTATAAACTTGACATTTATATATTTTATAAACGGAGAGTGTTCAAATTGGATTAACCGGAGTCGTTACTCGATTAAAAATTGACCCATAACATTTACCATAATTAACTATTGAACTGACATGATAATTTATTTAATACTGTGGGGTACAATACAATAATGTGTAGTTATTTTAACATGTATTATTTAATTCACTTTAAATCATAGGTACTTATAACCAATGCCATTTGAAGTACATAATCAAAGTTATTAAAAATATACAACACACAAAATTGAGTGATGCATTTTCTCATCTTTGACTCTATACAATTTTTTAAAACTTACAAAGGTACATATATTCAAATTTTCTTGAAGAGCAACCAGTTTTGATGGCTATAATTGTGTTTTACTATCTAATTTGGACTTGAGTAAAACCAAAAAGTTTAAAAACTTGAAAATACTTTTCAGAAAAAATATAAATTTTGCTTAGCATTTTTCAAGTAAGCTTTTCTTAATAAGTTAAAGTAGATGTTATGCTATGTCCTAACTCTGAAATGTATGTAATTTACCGTATTTCCTCATAATTTTCTTTCTCATAAATCTTTCATAATGATTAAATCTGAAAATAGTATTCTTATTTGCGAATTATTTTGTGAACAATTTTGATGTAAATAATATATTTAATTAAATATTGATCTTAATTTAAAAAAAAAAAAAATATCAGTCGAACGATAGCAATAATTGTTTTATGGTTTCCAAAATAAAACTACTAGTGATTTGAAAAGGCAAAAATATAATGTAATTGAAAAGTAATTTAATTTTTCATAATTTTTATTAAACTAATCAAAATTATTGTTAATTTTAAATACAATATTTTATACATTTTTATGTGACCAATTTCCTAAAAATTCAGAAGAATAAAATTGAATTAAGTTGGTCGGAAAATAAAACTTATTTCTGATTCTGAATCATGATTTAGGCTAAATCATTAAATTTCAAATAATTTTTAAATATTTTTTTTCTCAATTTGAATCTTACATATAACATATAACCAGTGTATAATGTACTATAAACTGTAATAACCCTAAAATAAAAATATAAAAATAATATGGGAAAGGTAAAGCGGGAATGAGAGATAGAGATATGGTATGGAAAATGAATTATATCATATTGGTTGATTACCTTCCTCCTTGTTTAAGGGAAGTCTTTTGGGGCTACCAAGGTTCAAAAGCAAATCAGTGTAACTGGATAGTCTGAAAAGACAAATAAAATAGCACTTATTTGTTTTGTGGCAGTTATTCGAATACTGACGATCTGTGAAATTATAACTATCGTAGGAGTGTAATAAGGTCGAAATTAAGTGAGAAACACAGGATTTGATGCACTGAAGCTGGACACTTTTCAACACTCACACAGAGAAGTCAAATCAAACATATTAATTATAAAAGTTAAATAGTCACATGTAGTGATCACTTATCACAGGAGACTGCTTTATTAATCTAACGGTCAGTGTGCATGTACTGACGACCTAAGATCAAGAGCCCTTCATGCACATGCCGGGAGCCTATGAGCAAAAGCTCCGGGATGGATTTTTCTATCCCTGTTGTGTAGAGACGTATGATGGAGTGGATCTTAGACCGGTCCTATGAAGATTTTACCTATTTATGATATCATTGGTGTAATGTTATATTAAACCTTTATTATTTGAATTGTGTTTTATATGCCGGTATCGAAAGAACCGTTATTTATTCATTTTTAACATGGTATAAAATGAATGGTGCACACAATTACGATTGACTTATGAAATGTTATGCATTCGAATGATACACACCATTAGAAAAGGAAACTAATAAATCCTTGTGAAACAACGATCAATAATACTAAAAGATGATTTTACATTTATATATGGTATTAAGTGGAAAATATATAAGTTACTTTATATAATATATATAAAACCATGTTGGAGCCAAAAAAAGTCTAATGCACTAAAATAAAGGGTGATGGAAAGACATCAATGGTTTGAAATTTTCTGGGTGATTTATCGGGCGAGATTGGACATCCCTATTGCAAAATGCTTGGCCATGTTCCCGAGAGAAGTGATTAATGTTGACTAGGGGTCTTAGAGTAAGCTGGAAGAAAAGCGTTCTCGAGCACACGGTGCGTTGAATTTAAACTGAGTACTTATGAACAATAAATACAATGTTTAAATTTACGTTTTATACGAATCAAACTGTTTATTTTTTCGTTTTTAAAAATTGAATCAGTACTGAAATATTGTTTTTCTTTTAAAAAAAAAATTTCAGGTTATCAGCTTAGAAGGATGGGTAGACATAATGTACTACGTGCAAGATGCTCATTCGTTCTGGGACTGGATTTACTTTGTGCTGCTCATCGTGGTGAGTATCGCCCACAGTCAATATTAATTTTTATTTTAGTAATAACAAGTATTTAAAGATAAAATTTCCACGCAAAGGAAAACAATATTATAACGAAGATGGTAAAAAATGTATCCTTAAATAACGTATATGAGATTTAATTGCAAAAAATCTCTAGTAATGACTTATGTTGTACCGTACTACAGGGGTCACCAAACCACGACTCACGAACAAGTTATAACTAGCCCCCTAATGAACGGTAGGTAATTAATCTAAAAATACGCGTACAGTCGTTGCCAGATAAATTGAGACGGCAGTGGCGGCGCAATAACGGAAAACCAGTGGTTCTCTGTATTTCAATATTATTACCGAAAATACATCAATATAGCAACAATTGTTACAAAAATTATTTTACGATATTAATTCCAAATTATTTCCCTAGCTTGACTGTGAGCTTTATTATTTTTAATTATTGAACTTATTATAAAAAAACTATTTATTTTATAGCGTACGTTTTCAGTACAAAAAAACACGAAAACAATACTGGCACGAATGATTGTATATCCATCTATATTAGTATATTCCATAATGTCCTTTTCTATTAATATTTAATATTGTCATTGGTCAGCCGAGTCATTTATTTTTATACATTAATAATAAACAAATTGTTGATGCGATTAAAAGTACGCCGCGCAGTCGAAACACACCGAGTTCGAACTGATGACTGTGAGCATCGTAGCTAACTGTATGACCTTTGAACCACACTGCCAACGACTAATTTGGGCTACATTTCATGAAAAGCGCCGCCGCCATCGTCTCAATTTATCTGGCAACGACTGTAATATCCTAAGTCGTTATCGCGCACATTTGTCAATTATTACCTGTATCACCTGTATCAGATTTTCGTCCGCTAAGATGATATTTGAATCACTTATTACTTTTACTTGATATTTTATGTGGTCGTCAAATAAAAATGTTTAAAGACCCCTGTCGTACTACAATGCAAATACGCTGCAGAAGTACGTTAATTGCTTGTATTTTGATTGTATTCGATATGTTAAACAATGTGTACAAGACAATCATTATCTATTCGTTTGTAAAACATATCTCCAATGAATGCATACTGGTGAACAATACATTTAAAATTCGAAATAATTGACCGTCTACTGCATTTCATCGTTCATCATTCAGTGATTCGATTTGTATCTTATAGGCCTGGTCATTTTCACCAATGGGTTATAAACAGCTTACTTCAGTAAATGATTTACCCACTCACTTAAATCAGATTTGAAAGGGAATGCAACAGTGTATGTTTAATTTTTATTTTCTAAAGAGTTATCGACGTGGAGATATTTTTTTTCGACTAAAACTGGCAGGGATGTCACGAAAAACATGATTTGATACATAATGCTAATATTCTCAGACGTCGCCTCATTCTCTCCGGAACGAACAATGAGTACACAATTCAATGTTAATAATTCATATTAGTACCTATGACAAGTAATACTAAAACGGGTGTGTTCTATGCATCGCGCATGTCCACAATTAATGTACATGAGGTGACATGAAAATGAAATTTCTCATGTAAAGTACTCGTGTCTGCATAGGTAAATTAATTTTGGTTGTTTATACATACATAAATATATTGAGTGGCCCTTGTTATAGGTGAAGAAAAAAATAAAAATAAATTTAATTTCTCATCCTTTCATTTTTTCATTGTTATAAGAAAGTAATTTTAATTAAATTTGATCATGGTATCCCAAGGGGGTTGAAAAATGTCAAAATCAGGTAAGTATACCATTTATCAAAAAAATTTACATAAATTAAATCATAGTAATTTATATTTTTAATAATAAATATTACTATGACATATTACATACATCTATTATTTTCTAAGAAAAATGTTAAAATATCGATTGTTTAATTTATTTTAAAAAAGTTTATTTTTACGGTTTTTTAAGTATATCAGAATATTCAATAAATTATACGACAAAATATCCTATACGAGATTGATAAAAAATTAAATTATCTAAAAAAAAATGTATAAGTATAAATTGCATAGGATTGATTGTTTTATTGCAAAATTCGGTATCAATAATAATACATGTTTGTAAACTATATATATTAAGAACATATTAAAAATTTAACACATCACTTAATTGATATTATCGGACGAAATAATGAGTGACAAAATATAATATAAAACCGCCACGTAATCTAACAACTAGTATATAATACCAAAAATAATATTGTAGTTCATAACGACGAATTTCAACCGGTCCTTTGGGTGTCGTTATATATGATACGATATCGTTTTAAGAAAATAGGGTTGGTATGGATAAATCTAAATTTGGAGTTTAGAGTGAAAACATATTTCATGAAATGTCTCACTATCAGAACAGTAACTCGCACTGTTATTGTGTATGAACATTATTTACCATGATTTCTTATTTTTCTGTCATGCCATAACTTGTGGGTTACATATTCAATTAATCGATAATATCATTTTAACAAGACAATATAAATACTCAAGATTCGAATGACATTGATAATGAATAGAGTGCGGATTTATATGCATTAAAAACTAACCAAATATGCACTAAAAAATATTCATTTTTTAAATTGTTATGTTATGAAACAAATTTTGTGCTCATTAAGCATATCATATGATTAATCAAAATAAATATGCAAATGCATACAAATCTGCGCTCTAGTTATCAGTATAATAAAAATTATTAATATACTTATCTATAGTCGAACCGACTGATCGGAGATTTTTGAGTTTTTATTAACTTTATATTAATGCCCATTCAATTTCATACTTTTTATTCAAAGTTGTTTATCGATTTACAGGTGTGCGTGATTACGTTATTTATACATGTATACACTGCAGGCTGCATACAAATTTTCTACTCGAATAATTGTGAAAAATGTATATAAATAATAATTTATTTTGATAAATAAAAATGAATTATTATATATTATATAATATATAATAATCGCCCAATCTTATTATTCAGTTTGGGCGATAAAATTTATCCGATATGGAACGAAGAAACAGTTATGTTATGCACCAGGCAAAAAGCAACATTCGATTAGAATCATTTAAACAGATAGTCATCGTGACTATTATAGAAACTGGTGTACAAGATGAAAATTATAATCTTTCAAAATTATTTTAGACTAAAAAACAATTCATAAACAATAATAATAATACGCGTCTACTGAAACGGAATTCTTTCTTAAGCTGATATTTTAGTATTTTATCAACACGAAAGTGCCAGTAGAGTGTATACTTTTTGTAAAGTTTTTGTTTTGCTAGTACTTTTTTACAATACGATGTTATTTTCGATCAGAAACGGCTAATTCAATTAGTTAAATTATTTCTTTTGTTATGAGAACAAAAGAGTTTTGCACGTTTATTTGAGAAGTATTATTTTAAGAAAAAAAAAGATAGCGTGAAGTAAATTATAAAGTAAAAAATAAAGTACATTAAGATTCTAGGGTGAAAAAAACTTTACCGTGAAAACACAGAATGTTAAGAAGAAATTAAAAATAATAAGAAAGCTTTCGGATATTTGATTATGTTCTTTTACTGTTGTAGGTATAACTTTAAGGTATATACGAGTAGTAAAATTATCGTTGTATTGAGAAGAGAAAATTTAAAATAAAAACAAACATTTTTTGATTTTTTCCCATCTCAAATTCAGAACTAAAATAACAAAAAAACACTACGGTGTCTACCGAATAGTTTTTTTACCGCATATAAATATCGTAGATTTATGTAAAATGAAATATTTGAAATTCCTAATTTTTAATTTATTCATGATATACGTAAATAATCAACAATATCCGTTGACGTGCGTAACTTAAGTGCATATCAGTTGTAATAAATACCCCATTTTCTCCTAATTCTCATACACTAAACTTTGTGCCTAGTCTAAATCGTACGATTTCTAAAAAATGCTAGTACATTCAAACTGTGTAACGATCGACTACATTAGAATGTATATTATTCTGAGGTTGTTTAATAATTGTATTTCGTTAACTATTTACTGGTGAATTATTTGATGATAATAACAATTTCGGAAACTAATTCTTTAAAAAATGTTTTTTTATTCAGATTTTTTGAACCATTTGATAAAACTACTATTGATATGTTTATTCTCAAATGAATTCCTGATTATTAAGTCTTAAGTTTTATAAACTCTTAAGTTTCCACACAAATATTTAAATTAAAGGTAGTAAAATTATATAATTTAGATAAAATATATTCATATACTAACTATCGTGAAACAGCTGTTCAAAATAAAATTAGTCTTATACTCATATTTTATAAAATATTATATTAGTTTACATTAAGAAATATTCAATTTTACTTAATTTGAAAATGTAATTATACCTATTTTAATATTATCTATTTAAAATCACTAGTTCATAAATTAGTATATACAATATTATGTTATAGCTATACGACAAAATATAGTAATTTCATTAGAGCTTGAATTATCATGTACCGAAATAAGCATTAAGATTATCTTTAAATTAGGTAAATTTTTTTTATTTTTTATTTTCATCTCATAAATTAATAACAGTTTAACCCTTTATTAAAGCTTAAAATTAGATATAAATTTTAAAATTGTTAAGTAGCTTAGCAATTGAATTATTTTTTAGCTAATAACTCCTTATACACTTAAATTGTTACGAACTTGAGTCAAAACTCAATTGACTTTCTCTTTAAAAATAATCGTTTCAAATAATGCCTTATCTGCTTTTAATCTTCTGAAATATGATATCATATCAAGACTAAGATAAATATCCTAAAAGTATACTATAATACATTATTAATAGATATTGATGACGGTAATTATATAGGGCAACTATCATTTTTAATAAATCTATGAGCTTTAATTATTAATAAATTTTATTTGATACATCTAAATATGAAACCAATAATTTAAAAAAAAAAAAATATTATTATATACCTATCAATCATATTAACAAACATTAAATACAAATCA